AGTTAAGAAAGAACTTGTATCGCTGAAGTTCCTCGGAAAGAATTTATACTGGAAATTAACAAATGAGCAAATATGCAACAATAGTATATGTATTTCACAAAACTACTGTAAAATTTTAGATACTTTGGGCAAGTATCTGGATAATCAGTGTTGCATCTTCCACAAACTACATTTACTGCTTACACTCTTTGAACTCTTTCATCTGACAGAATTTCTTCCATCTGTGTTATTGAAAAATCCACTTGTTTTTTCTCTAGCCATGACCCACTTGGTGCATAGCCTTTAGGACCACCAGTATGAGGAACAGACTTGTCCAGTTTCTTTTTGTAAGCCACCAGGTCTTCCGCACTAAATAAAAAAATAATAAAAAGCTGGAAGATATTGGTGACAGGAGTCACTTTATGAAAATTTGATCAAAAATATACATTACACAAATAGCAGAAAAATTACACTTTCACTGGGTACCTTTGAAACACAATTAATGTTATAACAAATGGATAGGTTTAATATAATAGAATGATATGATTAAATTATTTCTACAACCCCTTTCACAACAGGAGCCCCTTTAAATGCTTTTCTGCACAAGTCACTGTGTTACATTCAAAATTTAATTAAACACCTTTTTCAACATAAGTAAATGAAATTAACATTATAATGTATGTTATTATCTGAAGTTTTATGTTATCTAAGTTTTAAGTCCTCTGTTTCAAATTAAACCTTTATAAAACTACTTAAAACTTCAAATTTGTTGTCACATAACCAACAAGCTATGAAAAGTCTCTACTTTGGCTCATTGTAACTTCTGTATTGTTAGCCAGGCACGGCTGAAAGGTCAATATAATAAAAATAATAAATATATATAAATGTATAATGTTATGACAATTAAACTATTTAGACTAAACATTTTTGGTTTTGAGTTATAATTTGTAGTCATTCTAGAATAAAAGATGTATAATTTACATCTATTTCCTAATCGTTTATGGTGGTTATGAGATTGGTCAAATCTACCAAACCCATACAGAAATCTGATAGTAAAAATAAAAGATAAAATATATGTTTTTTTTCTTAAAAACCATTTGACAATTATCTGGAGGGTATAAAGATATTGCATGTAAAATTTGAAAATTTTCTGATGCATAAAAGCATTTTTAATCTAAAAAATTAAAATGACTTTGCATGTTGGATAGTTAACATTCGAAAAGAAAAATGCATGAGGAAATCATTACTTAAAAAATCTTAAACTTGATAAAAAGAATCTGATATTTTGTGGACAAAAGCCTTGTAAAGTTTAACGATAATCTGCAAAATTTTGTACAGATACACTTACTGTATTAAAAGTTATAGCATGAAAACTATAACAAGCACAAAATGGTTATGAGGTCAGTCCCTGGGACCAAGCCCATAGTGAAAGAGTTAAGTACATGTTTATAACCAATAAAAAGAAAACATTCTGAGCTATGAAAATCAGACAGACATTTGTTATCGACTTGAAATGGAACTTGTAATTTCTCTGGAAATGGTGAAGTCTTTTGAGAAAATGAAGTTTTTTTACACCCATATATAGCTTAATTATAAAGCGAGATAAATTATAATTGGTTTAGTTTTTTATGTGTATTTTTTATTTAGTGTTGTAAAGCTACTAAAATATAAGAATTAGAGTATTATTACATTAGATAAGGGTATATAATGAAAAAATAATAATAAATATCTACACATTATGATCGTGAGTAGTTTATGTATTACATCATTCAATATCATTACTTGAGCTGTGTGATTCACAGCTTGTGTTGCCAGATTATCAGACACAATTCAAAGAGCAATAAACCAATGAAATTAAATAAATACTTTTTTGAGCTTTAAGCTGGTTATGATGATGATTGTAATTTTGTGTTACAATCTTCAGTTATTCTAGAAAGAAAAAATAGAGTAATTTAGATTTATTTTGTACTTATTGTGATGGTTACAAGGTTGGTCAAATCAATATAGTATGTATAGTGTTAGAGAAAATAACAAAATATAAAGTTTTGTTGAAGAAAATGTGTAATATTAATTTTAGGAAGTTCTAGAGGTTATGCATATGAAAACTAAGGTGAAAAGAGTATTTTTAGTTTTAACATGAAAATCACCTTACCCTTACAGTCTAAGTCACACTCTGATCTTCTTAAATATGCAGACAAATCTTTATATAAACACTGAATTAAAAAAATCTATTTTTTGTTTTGTTTATTACAAAATACGTGTAATGTTTCCCAAATTTTGTGGAGATACACTTACTGCATTAGTTGTAGTTTGTATATTTTCATTGTTATCTGGTGGTTACATGGTAAATGCAAAGTCAGTGAAAGTTATCAAGCCCATGTGAAGAATGTTGGATAAGTAAAAGTGTAAATGAAAATCACCATCGTCAACTCTTCATGCTAGAAGGTTACCGAGATGTAACAACAGTGAACACGCCATAATAGTTCAATAGTTAACCAGCTTTATTTTGTGTTAGTCTTACCTTCCTGACAATATATAAAAGTGCTACTGTATCTTGATAGGTTCAGTAAAAGCTCATCTAGTGTTGTTTGTTAGCCTAGTTACATGCAAAATCAATATGCTTTTTGGATTATTTTTTTCTTCTTTGCCCACCAGTGGCTCTTTGGTAAGTCTCTGGATTAGATTTCAATACCCGTTGTGGTCACAGCACAAATAGTTCATTAAGTATCTTTGTGCTTAATAACAAAGTGTTTTTCTTATGGCACACATAATTGTTGAGTTGCTTTATTATTCAAATTAGTCAAATTTTTTCACATCTTTTTAATTACCAATTTTTAATGAAATATTGTTGGTTTCTTTTTGTCATTCAGACATCACAAACCAGTAAATATTCCTCTAAAAGTACATTCTTGTCAGATTTTTAGGAATTTCGATAGAGGTGGTTATCATCGTTATATAATTTATAAATTTTGCATTTCACATTTATAAGCATTTTTATTTTTATATTCTGACCTGCAGCTGGATTTGGGGACAAATTTAAGCCTCCACCTGGAAGTTGGCCGTGTCCCACTTGTATGATCAACAATAAGTCTTCAGTTAGTAGATGTGCAGCCTGTGAAACTCCCAAACCTGGAAGCCTCTCTCAGGTAATATAAATAACTCATTGATTTTATAAAATTTAATGGGAGATATGTTGTTGTTTTTTCAAATACTAAAAGAAAACAATTGGCACTTTAATTCTCTCACTAAGGGCATATGAACATCTAAATGTATTATTATTAATTGGTCATAAATGCTTGATTTTTAGTTAGTTTTTCTTCTAACACTGTAACAAAATATAAAATATACAGAAAAAATGAATTTTAGTATTTCAAATGTTACAAAATTGATTGGTACTTGTGTGTCGTTCTTACTGAGCCTTGCTGTAAGCCTCATTTATTTTGTAATAGATGGGAAAGAGAAATTAATTTTTCTAGATTTCAAAGATGCATTTGAGGAAATCAGAAATCATCAAATTACTATACTGGTACACATAAAAAATTTAGTACTT